ATCGAGGAGAAACGATTGAACTAATGATAATAATTTTAAGCGAAAGTTTCAAAAGGTGTCTTTTGTCACTGATTGGTAGAAATAGTGTTAAATATACATAAATACTTATAATTAGGTGTCAAGTATTTATTATAATGAATGATCGACGCTATGTTATCATACAAGATCTCTTTCGAATTAAAAACGAGAATAGGAATCAGGATTTTAAGAAATGTATCTACACTTAATATTCGGACGCACTTTAAAGTAGAATAACTGATTTAATATCAAATCGAATGTCTTCAATTTCTTTGGGACGTCAGGACGCTTTGTTTACTGCACAGTTTTGAAAATGCAAAAAATTGCTAATCATCGAAAGAAATAAAAAAGTGTATTGACTCCATAAATTGGATAAGAAATTAATTTACGTGTTTGATTACTTTTCTCGATTTTTGGAAAATCATAGAAAATTTGTTAGTATTTAATTAAACGTGTTAATCAGGCATTGAGAAAATGAAGCATACGTTTATTACTATTTTCTATTTTTGGTTCTAAAGACGAGTAGAGATTCATCGTTCCTAACTATAACTCAGAACTAATCTCACGCGTGAAGGGAAGACTGCTAGTTATAAATTTGAGCAAATCATGAATTCTATTCATCAGCTCGGGATAGTCCGAAATGAAAGAATGGGAAGACTGTAAAAATGAATACAACAATTTCGATTTTCCTTGTGAACATTGTTTTCTTTTGCTCTTCTTTATAAACTCACACGTACACAGGCATACTTCCGGACGCACACGTATCCGCGCTAACATAGGCGACAACGAACACTCGTACACACTCGATTCATCGTCACGGTTGGAAGTTAGAAACATAGACGAAATAAATGTATTTTTTTTTTCTTTTCTTTTTGTTTGATGTCCCGACGCGATTTAACGTGAAACCGTAGGCAAGAACGATACTAGCGACGAATATAGTAATATAGTACACTATTTGGCGAAGGATACTTCTCTAAGCGAATGACGATCAGAATTCTGATCGGGACGAAGCAATCGAGTCAATCGTAATGCATATATTAAGTCACTTTATACAGGAAAGTAATTGTAAGATATTTTAGTAAATCGTATACCACGTTGTACATACGAGATACTCGAAACCAAGCGGAGAACGTAGTAGTAGGTAACTTTACAGAGAAAACGAAACGTTCTTTTTTTAAAATGAACAGTCGACATAAGTACATTGTACGAGTCATATGAGCTTACGTTAATTACGATACGGTGAAGGGTGTGCGGGAACCCGGAAGAATTTTGGGTGACTCAATGAACTCTTAAAAAATTCTTCACCAGATTCGAAATCGTTGATCGCTCGCACACCTCTAGTGACGATCGATCGTTTTGAAACAGTCATACATACCTAGCGAGTAACGTACTTACACGATTACGATGAAACTGAATAAAAGGTAAAGGAAGAGTGACGAATTGCCCTTCGTCGAACAGTCGCCTGCACCATTTATTTATTTTCTCACTCATACCACGCGTCATAATACAACGACGATTATGTTACAAGAGGCGCACGCCTCCACGATACATGTGAGTGATCACGACGCGACGTTGGCAGTTCCGCGATCGGCCAGAACTGATTTTCGCTTGGAACGAACAAAACTAAATTGATTCCGATGAAAAGTTCTTACACGTATATGCATATATTAATCTTTTACATGCGATAACGTTTAATAGAGTTCTCTTTAGTACTAAAAGGCCGACATCTTCGATCCGGTAATGAGAACGGAGAAAAATAGGTATTTCCGAAGCCCGAAGTAAATTTCTTAATCAAACGTTCGACCCTTGTGCCGTCGAGATTCAACATCGACGTCATTTCACTTACTTACAGCATCTCTTTATTCTTTCTCTCTATCTATCTCCTCATCACGAGGTGTACATCCTATTGATCTCCGATTGGTAACGCTCTTGCACTGCTTTCCTTTTGAGCTTAAATGCGGCTGTTACCAGGCCCATGTCCGGTGACCATTGCTCCGAGCACAGCTTCACTGCAGCGGGTATCTCGAATTTCTGAAGCTCGGCTGTAAACGAGAATAGAATAGAAATAATCTTGGGTCGTATAAAGGAATATCTCGGCAGAGATGATTAGTAATGTTAAATGGGCTCGTCTTATTCATCTCTGATATTGGTACAGTTAGTAACAATGAAAGCTCGTTCGTGGAAAATCGTTGGGCATGCAAATGATTTATTTGCACTTGGCTTTTCGACTGATACTAAGAGTTTGCCCTGAGGAAACGGAAAACTAGTACGTTAGAGAATTAAATCAACTCTGTTTAGGTGAGTGTAATTAGGGAAGTTAGAACTGTAAATTCATAGAAACTGTGTTAAATTGAAATTATATTAAAATCCAGCAGTATCGATGCTAGATCGACTATCGAAAAAACAAGACGTGGACTTATTATTCGTTTTGAATTTTGTCCTCTTAGGGGAAACTAACACAAGTCTGAACTGGCTCAGTTTCATAGTTTTTATTTAGAGAATTAAATCAACTCTGTTTAGGTGACTGTAATCAGGAAAACTGGAATTATGTTAAAATCCAATAGTATCGATGCCAGATCGACTATCGAAAAAACAAGACGTGGACTTATTACTCGTTTTGAATTTTGTCCTCTAAGGGAAAACTAACATAAGCCTCAACTGGCTCAGTTTCATTGTTACTAGTTGTACAAAAATATACGTTGCGAATATTTACATTTTTTGGCTTGTTCGATCAGTTCCTGCAGTACCGCTCTCTCTATCTGCTGCATGTTGCATAGCTCTTCTAAACTCTTTCCTGTTATTCCCATGTTCCTCGCGATTTCTTCGAGATAATATTGGTTTGGCACCACCAGGGCTACTGTGTAACACCTATGCGCGTCTCCGTATACGCAAATGTTCTCCACTACAGGACACGTTTTCAGTTCCGACTCGACTTTGCCCAATGACACGTATTCGCCGAATTGCAATTTCACCAAGTCCTTCTTTCGGTCTGTAACGATAAGAAGATGTTAAAACTTGGTACTATTCTGATTACTATAGAAAAAGAAAGTGCTTTTATTTATCATACAGTATCTATATTTTTTGCATATTCAGCTTTGATGTAAATGAATAAAATCTGCAGTTTAGAGATTTATCGAGAATATTAAGTATTAATATTTAAAGACTAATAATAAAAAACAAGTATTAATACTAAACATAACAAGAAATAAAAGAATAAGACTGACTGCCTACCTATAATTTTTATGCAACCGTCCGCGTGGAACTCGCCGATGTCCCCAGTTCTGAACCACCGTTTCCCATCTTCGTTGAAGAAATCTTCTTTCGTTTTGTCCGGCAATTTGTAGTAGCCAGCAGAGACGACGTCGCCGCCGATCAAAATTTCTCCTCTAGGGAACGGAGTGTCCGTCACTCTGTAACCAGCCTCTTCCCAATTTTCTAAACTTATGTCGCAAGCCGTGGTCGGTGCGCCCACTCTTCCTGTACTCCTGTCGTGTTCTGAACATAGAACAGAACATAGTTAGTAAATGATCGTATGTAAAATCAATTAGAAGAGGTCCAGCGAGATTGTAAGGCTCGAATTCATAGTCGATTCTTGCATTTGGCGCTCAGCACTCAAGTGCGTCCAACCGTTCCGCGTTCAATGTACACATTTATGTTATGTTCAGATTTTAAAAGTTTTATACTTCATGCTTGAAAAAGAAGTGAAAGAAGCGGAAAACGAGAAAAACTATTGCGCAGCTATTCCGCTTCTCTCACTTCTTTTTAAACATAACAATATGTACATTGGTGGGACGCACTTGAGTGCTGAGTGTCAAGTGCGAGAAAAGCGACTATAAATTCGAGCCTAAATCACTTTCGTATAATAAAAAGACGTACTGTCCATGACGGTAGCGCAGGAGGTGGTTTCCGTGAGACCGTATCCTTGGATCACAGAGACGCACAGGCAGATCTTTACTTGGGTATGCGTTTCCGGGGTGAGGGGTGCACCACCGCACAATATGAGACGGACTCTTCCGCCGAGAACTTGCCTCGCGGCTCCGAAAATGTATTTGTTCAAAAACGGCGTGTCGTAGCCACGCTTGTACCACTTCAACTTGTATTCATACGCGAAGTGGAAGATGGTCTGCTGTATGCGTCCTGATTTCTTTACTTTCTCGTTGATGCCTTTGGAAATTCGATCGAGAATAAGCTGAAGCGACAAAGGAAAATTATTACTGCGTTTAACACTAGAAAGACTGAAACTTAGTATATATCTATATTGCCCAAAAGCAGTCAAAATTACTGCATTGTGAAAGAATAATGTGTAAAGAAATTTGTCTAAAATTAATTTTTAATATTTTTTATATTATTTACAGTCATATAACAAGTTATTAGTAAATGTTAACAATAAGAAAAATTTACTTCAGTTGGGAAAAAAAATAATTTATGCATTATTATTTGTACATTTGCCCAAAAGCAGTCAAAATTACTTCCTTGGGCAATTTAGTGTTAATTCGATTGTAGATCTTTTTTTTGGGTGGCAAATGTGAGTTTGACTTACGGGCACTGCGGTCAGACAAGTCGGGTGAAGAACGGAGGCGTCTCCTTTCGATCCTATCTGAATCTTGCTACTCGAATCAATCATAGTGAGTGGCGAACTGTAGCCGATTGGAACTCCGTTTAAAAGGCACACGCTTTCCGAAAGTAGTTCGTACACGTGAGCCAGGGGTAAAAATCCGAGGAACACATCGTCCGATTTGATCTCCACGGCGTCGGAGAAGGTTTTCAGAGACGTGATTATGTTCAGGTGAGACAGGAGGACGCCTTTTGGCACTCCTGTCGAGCCAGACGTGTACATTATGATCGCCGTGTCTTCGCTTCGCGGTGGTACCAATGGTGCCGTCGACGTGGATCCTACTTTTACTACGTTCGAGAACGGGATGAATCGAACGCCTTCCTAAAATTGTCGCAAACCAAGAAAATATATTCAATACCCGAATTCCAAAATACGCGTTGCACGAAAGAATATTATATACAGAAGATACATGGTTTAAAAGGGTACACTATGTAGTGCGTTAATTTTTATTATATCTAGAGGCGTTTCGCAGATTTGAAGTTCAACTCTAACTGTTTTTTTAAACAGAATACTA